CCCTTGCCTTCTTGAGAAAAATAAATAAATTGATAATAAATTTCTTTATCTCCAAATCGGCAATTCTTCCGAGTTATTTTTCTCATGCCAAAATTTTATAATCGACACATAGCTACTTAACGTTGGAAAAATAAACAAGGGTACTTCTCTCTATCCCGTATCGACAATATTTCAGAACATTTCTCATGCCAAAATTTTTGTAAATACCATATGACCGTGCCTTGCCGGCACTTAAGAGAATATTATGTTCTTGGGTTTTTCGTTAATCAGTAGTTGACCCAGAGAATCAAAAGCTATATTGATTGTCTGCGAGGTGAGATGCTTAAACAATACGGAATTGATTAGAACTTATAGGACATGCTAAAAGAGGTCGACAGAAGGATGACGATTCACTCGAGTTCTTACAAACAGGAAATACAGAAGCAGATTTCCAACTAGCAGGAAAGCAAGAAGTAACAAGACATTTGTTGTAGAGCTGAGAAAAAAAATGAGCTATTTCGGGGATACTATCAGGTCTGCTATCATCTTTAGAATAGAAATCATGGTTGGAATTATCACGCAGTACAGACTCGGTCCTAGTGGAAAATCAGGCAAATGATGAGTCAAGATTAAAACTGGAAATGAATTTACAAAGAAAGCCTCCTGCATAATCACGAGAACAAAACTTATTAGAAGCTATACAGTACCTCATTCTATCAGTCTCAGTGGGGACACAATAATTGTAAAAATTATTGTGAGCTGACACAAAGAGGTGTCTGTTATGGTGAGAACTATCACTTTGGTATAGGCGGAAAAGTGATTCTTGTGGGTTATGGAAGCTGAACAGACAGCTGTTAACCAAGGACACAATTGTGGTTTCACATAGATGTCACAAAAGCAATGATGCCGGCTTTTACCCCAGAAGAAAACTCAATGCCACAATTTTCAATAGGAAGGTTAATTATTTAACTTCAAAAGGCATCCCTAAGAAAATCACAAAATGAGTCCCAATCTGCACGTTGGTAACAGAAAGAAGGTCTGCGGGAACCCTTGGCTTTTCGGAAAAGAAAAATAAATCTCTTTATCTTCAAATCGGCAATTCTTTAGAGATATTTTCTCATGCCAAAATTCTATAATCAACACATGGCCACTTAAAACCATATCCTCAATGCTTGGTTATTCTGTTTTTTTTTTACCAGTACAACGTCATCGATCAATTGTCAAAGCCCAACATTTTGTCCCCTTCGTGCTACGCAAATCCTTGGCTTCTTTGAAAAAAATAAATAATGGTAATTCTCTCTACCCCGTATCGGCGAATATTTCGGAATATTTTCTCATGCCAAATTTTTTTATAATCAACACGTGGCTTTGCCTTGCCGGTGCTTAAAATGATATCTTACAAAAATAAATAATGGCAATTCTCTCTACCCCGTATCAGCAAATATTTTGGAATATTTTCTCATGCCAAAATTTTTATAATCAACATATGTCCTCATCGCCTGGTCGACTTCTAAAATCTTGCGATTTCGAATGATATCTTGTTCTCAGTTTTCTTTAATCAGTACTTTTACAAATATCATTAATCAGTTGTCAAAAGCTCACATATGGCCTTTTTGTGAGTTCACTGTTTACGCAAATTCTCGGGTTTTTTGAGAAAAGTAACTTTTTGAAAAATAAAATAAAATCGTTTTAATATCGAACGGTATATCTTTCGGGATATCTTTCCGTTCTTAGTATTTCTTGTTTATAGTTAATCAATTACCATAGCTAAATAACTAAATAATAGCGTCTTAAGTTATCAAAATGTTGCAGAAATTTGTGTAAACGGCGTCAATTTCAATTACATTTTCCATATTTTCATAAGTTTGTAAAAAACAATTTTTAATATAACTTTTTGTCTGCTGTTATCTACTTTCTGATAAATTTGACCGTTGAACTTAAATTTTCTGTGTGGCCAAATAAAAAAGCAAAAGGGTTTAACACACAAAAGGTTTTGTCTAAGATTTACAAAGAATTTATTAAGGACTCTGAAGAGGAGTATTAAGAACTTAACACAATAAAATTAACAAAAATAAAAGCAAGCTTGAAACAATTTCCTATTCACTTTTTACAGCTATGTTCAAAGTGGATTTGACTAAATGATTTTATCTGACAAATTATTCATGATTATGAAGGCTCTTTTTGTTTTTACTTATTAGTGGATGAAAAAGTAATAAAATTAGAGCAGTTAAAATGTTGATAAACTAAAGGTGTGTCATAATTATGAAAGATATGTTGTAGGGAGCGCAGCACATACTTGGTTAATTTCTCTCTCTCTGGGAATAAAACTGGCACAAGGCCACCCCAGATGTACTTTTCGAAATAAGACCTCTTTTCCTATTATTTATTTTGTGAAGATTAAAAATTCTTAACGTTAGACAAGAAAGTAGAAATAATGATTCGCAAACATATTGTTTCAAACGTAACAATTGAATTTATTAGTGTTTGGTATACATGCATGAATACTGAGTGAAAAGGGGTTTGGCTGATTTGCCAGACTGTGAACGGTGTGGCCTTGGTTTAGAAGAAACAGCTTCGCACGCCTTCTACCATTGCTTGTGTCCATTGATCGCGCATACGCGTGTGACAATGTGTCGCCCCCGTATTCCGGGGTGAAACGGGTGGTGTTTCTGACGCTGCTAGCCACGGCTCGAATGGTGATTTGGATGCGAGGCAACCGTCTTTCATATCAGGATCTAATTCGATTCTTTGAGCATCAGCTCAAGATGAAGATTAGAACTGATAGAAAACGATTGCATTCGACAGTCTTCAGCGAAAGGTGGGTGAAAGAGGCCAGCTTGGTTCGTTTGAACGGGGTTAGCCTTGATTTTCTCTTTGAGGTTGAGCCTACATCACATCGGGGTGGTTTCCTGTGGAGCCCTCCCCCTGTTTAGGTTAGACAAGCTTTTGTGTACCTAATTAATGTGATTGAGTGTTGTTCCCGGCCTGTTCCTGGCCACTTCTTTGGTTATGATCCAGTTTGAGATACCCAACCTCCCCAGTTTGTTTCCCCCCCTTATCTCGTCTGGGTCAGCGTTATATTCTCCCATGCCCGTACGATTTTTTATCCTATTTCCACTCCCTTAGCGAGGGCGCTTCTTGATTTTGTCCCATGGGCAGAATACAGCGGCCTCTTTGTTTTTTGAGGGTTGAACGGGCCCTACTAACATCTGTTTAATTTAACCTATGTTAATATTTTAGTTTATTATTGGGTTCATCTCCCTCCCCTCTCATCCTTCATCACGAGATTTGTATATAATATTTATTATCATTAAATTTTTTATGGCATGGGGCGCGTTTTGTAGCCCCCCCCTCTTGTGAGTATGTGGTATTATGGTGTAAGGAGGATTGATTGGTGATGGATGAGTGCTTGTGGTGAATGGGCAAATTGTAATGAGTGAATGGGTCGTGAATCGGATTAGCTAGGTATAGGATAGTCAGTGAAGACCAGCCTCAACCCCACCCCTTTTCAGGCTTTGTGCCACAATTGTATTTTTTGATACAATAAATATACAGAGTTGTGTCTCTTTGATTAGGTAAATAGTTGTACCTGAGTTCATATTACGAGGAAGTAATTATTAAACTGTAATATTGAGTGTTTGGAATTGAATGAACAAGTTAGGTAGAGTTCAGAAATACTTGCATGAGTTAAGTATTGTTCATTTAACGTCTGACTGCATCAGTCGAGACGGAGTTCCTTTAGGGTCACATTTTGGCGGCGTGTTGAGATGTACGAGTGACGTAGATAAGTTAGGCTCGAGTCAGGAAGAGCAGGAACGGAGAGAGAGAATATCACACGTGTTTGGTTTATATAATGGTCGTGTATCACGTGGGAGGCTCAGAATTGACTTGGCGCCTAAATTGACTCTGCACGTGAGAGCGATCTGATTGGTTGAAACTGACCAATCAGCAAGTTGGATGTACTGTTATTGACCAATGGTTTCTCGTTGATATTTTATATGAAAGTAGGATGTTACTTATCAGATTGGAAGAGTGCATTTCCTAAAAAGGGGAAAGGTTGGTTTGTTGTGGAAGATTCCACAATGTAAAGCAGACACTTATTATTATTCTTAAGCTACTTTCAAATCTTATGCAGTGCCTATGATCACTGATAGAAAATTTTGTCGACAAATGAAGATTGATTTGAAAAAAAAAAAACAATCTTTTCAGATATGAATTATTCTTTTAAAAAATGCAAATATTTTATTGATTGTATTATCAATGACCTAAAAATAAAGAAAGATGGGAGAACATAAAAATAAAAAGAATGGAGAAAAAAATAAATATTTGATGAAAAATAAAGAAGTGGGGGAAAAAGCCAGATTCTGAAATGAATACTATTTTTGGAGAATACTGTCAGGGGAAGTAGCTACACATGTTGTTTTTCTCCTTAATTTCTTCCAGCACTTATCGGTTGTTAACAAATTATTATTATTATTAGGCTGAGTGAAGATGTAGCTTAACAGTTAGTGTTTTTATATTGACTGAGAGAACAGTCAGCTGAAATGATCTTAAACTGTAAGCCCACACATCAGACTTATCTAAAAAAAAAGAAAAAAAAGAATGAAAAGGAAAGTAAAATAATCAGATTATAACGCTTGAAAAACTGACTGTTAATCAGTTGTCTGTTCTTATCTTTTATATTTCTTTGCTTTGCATATTTTGGTTTTATTTTGCAAAGGTGTGTTTACTGGCCATAAAAAGCAAGAAAGAAAATAAAACAGGAATTCGCTTATATTTATCTGACTATCTCCACAAATCAAACAAAATCAATACTCCACTTTTTCGGCATAAATTTTCGATACCTAAGTTTAAAATGAATTTTTTAAAACGAAAAAACATTCTTGAAAATTTCATTTTAGCTTTAATGGAAAGTTTAATACAGTGTAACCCGGATATAAGAGAGTTGTCGGGACCGGAGAAGAAGTCTCTTATATCCGGGTTCCTCTTATATCCGGGTTCCTCTTATATCCGGGTTTCTCTTATATCCGGGTTTCCAACTTACCAACAACTACAGTTTGCTTTTCACTGCCGTCCATGTTTGTGAACTGAAGCATCGTGAGTCTGTCTTTGGGAACTTTTGTCCCATTTGACTGTTCGTCGCCGGCAAATCGCAAAGATCCAGACAGCATGGCTTTGTAGATAATTCCCGTTTCATCACAGTTCCAAACATCTTTTGGATTATATCCACGAAAAAGTTGCGGCAAAACGTTTGTCACCCATTCGTTGGCAGAACCGTGATCTGCTGACGTTGATTCGCCGTGAAATTTTTTGAACGAAACGTTATTGGCCTGCTTCCAGCGCATGAGCCAGCCATTGCTCGGTTCAAAATCAACTTTTTCAAGATTTACGGCCAGTTGTGATGCTTTCTGCCTGATGACGTGATCGGTGACGGTAGCTCCATGAGCACATGCTTGCGTAAACCACTGTGTAAGCGCTTCGTTAACGTCCTTGTGCACGGATTGGCGCTTTCGTTTGCGATTAGTGTTTCCGTTCATTTGCATGCAAGATCGTCTTCTTTCTTGAGAATTTTTGCTGCTGTTGAATAACCGATTCTGTACTTTTTGGCTGCAGCGGCCAGTTTGAGTTTCTTCATTTTGACATCGTCGATGAGCTCCAACTGTTCAGAAATGCTCAGAGTTTTTCGTTGAGACACCGACGCCGACATCACTAATCGCAATGATCGCAAGCAAACGGTTTTCAGTGGCAAAATTAACAAACAGACACACTTCTGACTCAACAGAACAGTGGGTAAAGTGAAAGTGCTGTCCAGTAAATGCAACGACAAGCAAAGTCGGCAAAAAAGCAGGCGGCGCTACACACAAAGCAAAATCATAAGGTAGAGACACAGATTGGACACACCGTGTCTCTAGACTAGTCAAGATTAAGTCATTGAACTTCACTCTCTCTCTAACTGACCTCTGTTTGACCGATTTACGACATCACACTGTCACTCAAAACGAACTCTCTTATATCGGGGAGGACGGGACCAGAGAAAATCTCTTATATCCGGGTTTCTCTTATATCCGGGTCTAATTTATATAGATTTTCTCTGGTCCCAAATTAGAGCCTGTGTTAATACACAGGCTCTAATTTGGGACCAGAGAAAATCTCTCTTATATCCGGGTTTCTCTTATATCCGGGTCTCTTATATCCGGGTTACACTGTAATTAAATGTATTATTTCCATTAAGTAAATAATTCTGGTGTATTTCAGATAGAAACTATATACATTGGAATGTCAAATTTAATTTCAATTTCTTATATTTTCTTAAAAGCGGCCATTTTCTTAATTTGTAAACAAACACAAATTTATCGATTTTAAAAATATTTAAAAAAAATTTTTATTTTAGTAAAATTAAAAAAATTAAAGTTAAATTAATCTGATTTGAAATAAATATTACTTATAGCATACAACCAATTATTAACGATTGGTCGTGTTCATCTGATCCAGCGATTGATGGACCTGATTTATATTTTTTTAGATATTTTTCATTTTATTTCTAATTATTGTTATGACAATTATTTTATTATTAAATTTTATTATTACTTTAAATTTTATTATTAATTACATAATTACTAAAACTTTTATTAACCCAATAAACATTATTGAAAATAAATTGCTACTATGTGTAACAAGAAAAAGACTTTTGGGAATATTTTGTGGCCCTGAAAAGGGCCTTTTTTTTTTTGGTTTATGTTTTCTTCTGTTGCCTCTTCAATCCTTATCATTGCCGGGCTGATCAAAATGCAAAGTCCTGCATGAGATAGTCAGCACCAATTTCACATTTGTCTAGTTGACAATAGTCAGCTTCATAATTGAGATATGAAATCGTATAAAAAGGATTTGCATAACTAATGATGTAGCCAACATATTCACGGTTGACACCAGCTGTCCAAATGTGTTTGACTGTCCCAGTGAGTATTTCATGCAGGACTTCTGCTACTTCTGGTTGACGATACTCCTCCAGCAAAGTCATTATTGACACATCTTTCAGTCGATTTAAAGATTTCTGTATGGAAGCTCTCCTCCTCATTTCAGCCTGGACTGTCCTATCTTGGCTCTTTTTAGCAAGTTTCAATCTGCATTTTCTTCAGTCCTGTATAGTGTCTGCTGTAAATCATCGCCATCCGGAGGTATTTTTTGAATTGCTCAGCATCCAGATCATCGATGAATTTTCTTACTTGATTCTGCTTGGCCTTGATGACATCGCTTATGCTGGAAACATAAGCATTATGCGTAATCTTCTTTCTTTCACAAAAGTCACCGATGATGCTTTCCGCTAGCATGGTGTGTTCCCTCACAGATGTCAACAGCGATGGAGATGAAGCCGCTACAGTGGTGAAAGATTTCTCGTACTGTCTGTTTAACACCTCCACAATCCCTTTCAAACAGGCAGTCATCATTGGTCGAAACAGGAGTTCAATTGTGGGAGAAATCAATTTTTTACAGTCTTTGGTATTGGATTTCCAAAGAAGTCCTCTAAACAGGCAATAATAGATATTGGATCCTCGCTGAGTACCTTCACCATGTCAATGACCCCTTTGACGATGTCTATTGTGTTGATGGGGTCATTTTGAGTTTCAAGAGATGAATAGAAGGTACTCATCCAAGGCCCTGGAAGCAGCTTCCCTATGATTCCAAGCACTTGCAACTCGACAATAGCGGCTTCTTCTGTGAAAAGTAGCTGCAACCTGGAGATAGAGATTTGTTGACGGAAGCCCTGGGACAAATTGCTTGCACCGTGCACCCAGATGGAAAATTATTAGCAGATGATTCCCTCGAAATCTAGTGATTTGGGACAATGAAAGCCCTTGTTGCTTAATGAAGGTTTTCATATCATTTATATTCCCTAATTTTTCACTAAATCTGAGAGAATTCAATCCCACAATAATTCCCCATGCTAGGCACCCACTCACAACAGATGATGTACAGGCCTCACAATACCACAGGGCTTTCCTTGTTTTTCTGGTAACTGGTTTTAGTGGGTGCAAATTACAGTACAGCTCCAAAAAGTTAACCTGCCACTCCTTTTCCAGTAGCGAAACTCTTGAATGATTGACAGGAGATCTGTTCGTTAAGCAGCATTTAATTTTCGAAATTATTTTTTTCAAACTGGCATCAACACTTGCGCCAGTAGATATTAAGCCCACTTTGGCTAATCTGTTGATGGGTCTGTAATATGCTGCTTGTAGTCCATGGCAGACCCCCCCCCCAGGAAGACGTTCCAACGACACAAGATGAGAGGATGTTGGGGTTGTTAATACACAGTTCACGTGCTGTCCATCTTGTGTCGTTGAATCATAAACTAAAGTGCAGTTTTCTGCGCTTCCCACTGCATGGAACGTCTTCATATCTGAGAGGAAGCCAAGCTCCCCCACCATTCTAAATACTGTCGTTGAGCTTTTTGGTACAATCTCATCTTCCAGTGACAATGTCTTCAAAATACTGTTCACAGTTTCTTTTTTTTTTTGAAGTGATATCATTCTTTCATTTTTTGTTGTTTTTTCAAAATTTTTATTTTATGAACTTTTTTTTTGTCACTGGAAAGTGAAGACTGGGAAGAAGTTTTAGGCAGACTTGGAGTTGCACCCAATTCCGAATTTGAATAGAGTTCTTGACTTGCAGCAGACAGGGTTTGAGTTGCAGCAGACAGGGTATGATTTGCAGCAGACAGGGATGCATCAGAAATGGCTGCAGCTGCAGTAGAAATGGTTGCAGCTGCAGCAGAAATGGTTGTACAGGAAGAGAGATTAATACTTGCTACATATAAACTTGTGGTAGCATCAGACAGGGTTGCATCTGAAGCAGATGTAGTTGCAACTGAGGTGGCGGTTGAGACAGACTGAGTCACAACTTTTCTACATTTTTGGGAAATTCTGAAAAGTTTGTCCCTTTGTATCTATTTTTATAGAATCCCCAAAGTCTTCTCACAGAATTGCACGTTACTGGTGGAAAACCATTCATGGCATTCTCCAACGTGGCCCATTCTGCTACTTTCTCGAGTGTTCCATATTTTCGGAAAATTTTTTCAAAAATATGGCCGCAGAGAATGGGTTTTCCACGTTGGATGCTGCTATATGGTTTCAGAATCTTTTCTGTCCTCTCCATCTATAATTAAAAAAAATTAAAAATAACGTAAGTAAGCAAGAAAATTAACGCCTTGATTTAGAAATTTCTTTTTAATAAATAAAATATTTATTCAGTAATAGTTAACCAACTTTAATTAACATTAACTGAATTAAAAAATACGTTTTTCTATTTCGAAAAAAAAAAATGTGAAAACAATAGAAAAGAAAACAATTCAAAATTGACAGAAACTGAATAATCTAATTTCAAATATGCATGAAATAAAGTTTAAAAGTAACTTAAATTAATTAAACATTATTTTCAAAATTAAATTAAACGTATTTCTTTATCAAAATTAAAATAACTGTCATTAAAATAAAAAAAATAGTTTTTCTATTTAGAGAAAAATTGTGAGCACAGTTGAAAGGAAAACTATTCAAAATTAACAGAAAATGAAAAACCTAATTTCAAATATGCAGGAAATAAAGTTAAAAAAATTTATTCTATTTGAGTATGACCCACACTAATGAAAATACATTAAATAAAAATATTTAGTGAAATAGTAAATGAAAAAAGGAAAACTTACTTTAAATTTTACACTTTTAAAGCTGAACGGAAAATACAACTAAGAAACGAAATGTTATTGTAATGAAAAGAGACCTTTTTAGAAAGTTTTACCTTTTATTCAACATAAAAAAGCATACATAGTTACCAGTTCGTTCATCCATATCTTCTAACTGTGTAAGTTAGAAGATATGGACGAACGGACACCAGAGAGGAAGAAAGAGGCGTCCCACCGTTATTTATAATCACAAGATCACGTGACGTGAACCAACGCGAAATCACACAACAGTTCGTATGCAGATAAGTAGAATAGAACATGAATGAATACAAAAGAATTATAAGTATATCACAACACTCTCCGCTACATTTTATTGATACTTCGGGTTACGGATGATCTTTCGTCCTCGTCTTGATGATTCGGGAAGAAATCTCAGAGCATCCTTCTCTAAGTGCGACAGCTGCTGCTGTTCTAAATCCCGAGACTTTGTTTCGCCAACTGAAGTGGAAGATTCACCATTTGTTGTGGTTTCTTGTTGGTCAGTAGACATTTCTGGTTCATTGTTATTTGATGGAGTAGAACTCGATGACTCACAGTGATCGGTGAAAACAGGAGAATCCGAATCTACAAACGATGAGACAGTAACAGGAGTGGGGGCAAGATCTTCTGTTGGGACTGTTGATTGACGGCCGTCAGGGAAACGAATTCTCGCAAAATTTGGAGTTACTGATATTATTTCCACCGGTTCCACTAGTGGGTCAGACTTATGTTGACAGACAAACTTTCTTAGCAGCGCCGGACCTCCTTGCAACCATTCAGGTAGGGTGTATCCGGTCCCCGACCTTCTCGAAAAATTGAACAATCTTTCATGTGGTTTTGTGTTAGTTGCTGTGCAAAGGAGACATCGAATTGAGTGCAGAGCAATGACGTTCATCCAGTTGCCTCGTCTTGAGTGCAAGTTTTATCGTTTTCCATATTGTTCCGTTTGCCCTCTCGCATTGTCCGTTGCCGATTGGATGGTATGGTGTTGAGTGGGTAATTACAACGCCATGTTGCTAGAGAAACTCTTTCAGTTCAGATGATACGAACTGGCTGCCTCGGTCACTATGGATTGAATCAGGGCAGCTGAAGGTAAAGAGATTTTGGAGACATTTTATTACAGTTCCTGTTGAGATGTCTTGGCATGGATAGACGAAAGGATAGCGCGAGTATTCATCTACGATCACGAGTAGATATTTAAAACTATTTGTTGATGGATTTTGGGCCCATGAAGTCAATAGCAAGGCGCTCAAAAGGGGATCGAGAATGGATTAAGCGACCAGGGGTGGTCTGAAAAACCTTGGTTTTAGTTCAGCACATATTTGGCATTCAGCACAGATATGTTTAACATCTTCCATAGAGAAAGGAAGATTCTTTTGTTTAACAAAATGATACAGTCTCGCTACTCCTGGATGACAGAGAGCTGCGTGAAGATCTTTTAGTGATAATGAACATGAAGCAGAGCATGAACGGGAAAGAGTATCTGCAGAGCTATTAAGTGAACCTGGTCGGTATACAATATCATAAGAGTAGTTAGAAAGTTCGAGTCTCCATCGAAGTAGCTTATCGTTTTTAATACGGTTTGGTGTCCGTGTGTTGAACATATATGAGGCGGCCTGTTGGTCTGTAACGATAGTAAAATATCGGCCGAGTAAAAGATCATGCCATTTATGAACAGATTCTACAATGGCTGCTGATTCACGCCCCACTGCTGAGTATCGACGCTCAAATTGCGTAAGAGTTCTAGAAAAATATGCTACTTTCTGAGAGAGGCAGATGCATCCGTTTCTATTGTGAATGGAATTTCATCCTCAATGGCCGCAACCGAAGCCTTGCAAATTTCATCTTTTATTGCCTGAAATTGACTCTTGAGTTCTTCGGCAATAGGAAATGAGGAGATATTTAGCAAAGGCGAAATGCGGTCAGAGAAATTCTCCACCCATGGTGAGTAGTATGAGAAGAGACCCAGAGCTCGTTTGAGTGACTTACCACAGTTCGGAGTCGGTAGTTCTTTGAGTGGTGTAAGTCTGTCTGGGTCAGGACTGATTGTTCCATTCTCCAACAGGTGCCCTAGAAACTTAAGTTTGGTGATGCCATATTCACATTTATCAGGGTTCAGTTGCAAATTGAGACGATCAGCAACTTCTTTGAATGCCTTCATATTTTCATTCAATTCTTTATTTGTCTTTCCCCCGATGACAATGTCATCAATATAGGCGAAGGTGCCTTTAAGTTCGTGTTCTCGGATTATATTATGCATGATACGTTGGAATACAGCTACAGAGTTTGTTAATCCAAAGGGTAACCGAGAAAATTCGTACAGGCCTCCGTCAGCTTCGAAGGCTGTATAAATTCTTTCCTCCTCACGGATAGGGCATTGGTGATATGCAGACTTCAAATCTAACTTGTTGAAAATCTTATATTGAGCTAGATGGCGTATAATGTTTGAAATTTTTGGAAGAGGGAATGGCATCGAGAAAAGTATAGCGATTGATAATGGCAGAATAGTCAATGACTATGTGACGCTTATGCCTTTCATTATGAGTCACCAAGACTTGGGCTCGCCATGGGGAATTAGAGTTAATTTATATCCCTTCTTTTAAGAGCTTCTGTACTTCGTTCCGAATAAATTCGCGATCAGATTGCAGAGTAATTCCTGCTCTTTGTCGCAATTGGCTTACAGTCATCTGATAAATTGGCAAAAAGAGCAGGTGGCTCTATTTTCATCTGAGCGGTGTTACAAAGTTGTAAAGGAGGTATATCTCCGTTAAAAAGGAATTCCACACGCTTGTGTAGTTGCATGAATTCTTGTCCAAGTATGACAGGAGTTGGGCAGAACAGACAGATGCATATCAGGGTATGTTTGTCCATTAAGTGCGATAGATGCAATACAGTGACCTTGGGTTTTGCTCGTGAGATTAGAGGAAGCCATACTTACTGTGTCACTGGAAGGTGGTATAGGAAGGCCAAGTGATTTTGTAGTGGTGTTGATGGCGTAAATCAACCCGCACATTTTTTACTTTACGAATGTGCAAGAAAACAAAAAGCAAACAAGAGAAAGAACACAAGAAAATAACTTTTCGTAACAGGTACAATATTTATATTTATAAATGTCAACGGTTTTACATGAATTATTAATGAGATATTTCCCTTTGACTGGGGTAAAGTCTTTCTTTACTACTTATCGGAGCTCACAAAAAAAAGTTGAATTAACTTGTCGCTCAAAAAGTTCACTGAAAGAGAATTTAAAGAATCTTGTAATCTGAAAATATGTTGATAAACTTTTAGCTTTAAAGAAGTTGGAGAAGTGAATGTTCCGTTTTTTTTTCGTTGCTCGTAGTTGAATGTATTGTTCGTATTTAAGTTTCGTAAGATTCAATAACGTGATTGAATAGTTTTAGTAAGTTGCAGAAGTTGGTGTGTGAGTTGTTTGGTTGATATTTTAGCTTGAATTACAGCGAAGTTATTTCGTGTTAAAGAACTTGAGATTCTAATTTTGTACTTCGCTGCAGTAATGATACAAGCATCGTGAACTCGTTTAGCAAATGCTAGTCGCCGTAAATTCTCACTGACTGGGTTCGCTCGTATCTTCAATTTATATGTTCAATGAGAAGTTAAGATTTTCAGAAACATGTATGAAGCCGTGATCCGCTTTTTGCACGAAAATCGACATTGATGAAAAAGTGGTAGCGGAAAGCTAAAATTTCACGACGTTCAACTTTATGAAATTATGAGTGCTTCCGCTGTCTACCAGACGAGTGTTGTTTATAGTTGCAACTACTATGGAGCATTGTGTGCGGGGTGTGCATTGGGATGAAGCTGTGAGAGCAATAAAAGCAGTGCTAGTTTTTATATTAGGTGATGTCTCTCTTCTTTTAGACCGGCAGACTTTGGAGAAGTGGCCTCTTTTCCCACACGAAAGGCAGTCAGCATTTCTTGCAGGGCAAGTTGTATCGAGAATGATTCTCACGCCCGCAGAATTGACATTTGACGTAGCGAACTGCTTGGTTAGTGTTGGTAGCAACAGCACATTCTTTATTTAATTCATCTGTAGAATTATTACTGGATTCTTCTGGATAAATTGATGCTTTTGCTACAACTAACAAAGTGGCATAAGCTGCGGCATTGTGTTGAGATATTTCGAGACTTCTCGCGGTTGCTACCGCATTATCCAAATTAATTTCACAGCTTTCTAGTAGTCTCTGCCGTATCACTGGGGAAGCGAGGCCTGTGATAAAAGCATCCCTTATTGCTTGTTCGGCATGCTGAGAAGCAGTGACGTCTTCAAATTTGCAATCCTTCGAAAGATTTTTTAAAGTTAGAAGGAATTGATCAATAGATTCACCTGGCTGTTGTTTTCTAGTGGCGAGCAGATGACGAGCAAATACAGAATTAACTGGTTTGACATAAGTAGATTGAAGAAAACTAATGGCGTTCTCGAATGTCGTGCAGTTTGATATCAGGGAATAGACTATAGAATCGTCAATGTATGTCTACTCAACCCCGTTAAAAATAGACTCTTCTATAAGAATTAGCTTTGACCAATCAACACCACATATTGTGAAACTCGGCTTGTTATTGGTCGAGACGATCCTAGAATGTGTATCCATGGTCAAAAATCTGTTTTCACGCCAGGTCGTTGGAGCCTACTTTGGTTTCCCAAAACAAATAAAAGGACGAATTTCAGTCCAATTCACCAGTCAGATCTTCATTCCTAGAGAGATGCCAAACTGACCCACGCAAGTCAAAACTCTAACCAAGCAGGACTTTGCCGCGCAAAATATCTGACTCAACAATCTACAAGCACACTCTATCTCTCTCAAGAAACTATATTCAAGCATCACTTACGATACTTTAAAAAGTGACATTTTTTCTCACTACTTAATAAGTATTAGTAAACAAACAATCAAATTCTCACACAACTAAAGGTACGCAACTCCTACCAATTATACAAACAAACTTACGTACATACACTAATAATTGAACTAGCAGAAAGGACACTTTAGTACGTAACTGGACACTTAGTTTAATTTTGTGAACAAATCTGAATAGCAATTGCAAACACCTTCAAACATTCACAATAATATTCTACGCAGCCAAATACATCTATTCTCATTTATCCATTAAAGTTCAACTCAATTGTATTCTCAAATTGTATATTAATTGTACATAAATGCATGTTGTTTTATTGAAATCTCATAATCGGTTTTTCTTACTCAATTGCCTCGTGATTGATTCGTTTTTGCATATCTATATTCTATATTGTTGCGGATTAATATGGTGAACATGCCCGTAAACTAACCATCTTAATATAAAAACCTTCTGATACCAAATTCAAACTCATAGCAATTCCAACAAGAGGTGATATATAATTTATTAGTATGTTGAGCTTGTTAGGAGAGTCGATGCAATTGACAAGGGTACGGTACCAGTGATTCCATTCATCAGCGGTTGTCTCCGACGATCGCTCAAATCGACCGGGTCTCAGAATGGCATCCATTTTTTTTTTATGTTGAATAAATTGTAATGAAAAGAAACATTTTTAGAAAGTTGAATATTAAGGTTTTACCTTTTATTCAACATAAAAAAGCATACATAGTTACCAGTTACATAGTTAGAAGATATGGACGAACGGACGCCAGAGAGGAAGAAAGAGGCGTCCCACTGTTATTTATAAACACAAGATCACATGACATGAACCAACGCGAAATCACACAAGAAGAAAGAAGAAAGTTAACTTTCAAATATATGAAAATATCGACAAATAAAAGAATAACAAAGTAATTTTCAAATGTATGAAAATAAGTGATAAGTGTAGTTTTTACTTAATTTTTTAAGAAGAAAGTTAACTTTCAAATATATGAAGAAGTCCAATTATTTCTGGTTGTTAACATCCAAAAAGGTAGGTTTCTTCAATATCTAATTGTTGTTTTGAGTTAAGCATATACATTTGCACGGAATTAAGACTATTTTGGAAAAATTTGAAGGGTTATTAGCGCTCGGGTGTTACAATATACATTTACCAATGAATGAATACAAAAGAATTATAAGTTATAAAAAGGCCACGTGTTGTCCCTTTATTACAATAAAGGGAGAAAACTCTTAGATCACGTAACCTTTTCATAATAATGGCAATTTCAGTCTACCATACATGGAAATAAGGAATGTATTAAGTAAAAAAATACAACATAAAAAAATAATTTAAAAATTAAATAGCACAACTATTTTGAATTTGTAATTTTTGTTTCAACTTAATTATTATATCACATCCAGGAAATAGCCTAATACAGACTTTTACACGTTTTTAAACTATTATAAATTATTATAATTAAAATTTTTTAAAAAATGAAAAAAAATCTTGTAAAAATTCATTATTCATCAGAAAAATTTTATTTCTTCAGACAGTAATGTGCTTAGTATTACTTATTTACAAAAGCAATTAAAAGCTTTTCTAATTAAGTAATGTCATAATTTTATTGGATTCATTATTTTTCAATTCAGAGAAGATTTTCAGTTAGATGGCTCAAATTTGAAAAAAAAGTAGGTGATTTACAATCTCCAAAAATTCCTACTTTTAACAACAACAAAAAAATTCAGAAAATAGAAAGGTTTTGTGCGAAATTTCATGAAATTAAGTAAGTGGGGGGTAACATATTTTTTTTTAAAAAAATATTTTTTACCAAAATTTTCTAAAAAAAATATTTCAAAAATAATTTAATTCATTTGTGAATAAGTTCTGAAAATTTCATTAAAATCGGACAATTACTCTATTTTTACAAGAATTTCCAAATCAATGTGTTTTCAATCGAAAAAAAGCGCAAAAAAAAAAAACAATGTTATTTTTATGCCCCCGCGATGACGTAAACAAAAGAGGACTTTAACCAAAATTTCGAACGTGTAAGAAAGGATTAAAAAATTTCAAAAAATAATTAAAAAATACTTTGGTCTTTCATCTTAATAATAACATAAGCATTTTCGTTAAGTTTGTGGTATTTTTCATTACACTATGCTGCTTTCCCGCGAAAAAACGGAGGTAATAATTTTTTTTAAAAATATGATTCCTTCGCTACATAAGAGTTCTCATGTTTCAAAAACGGGAGCCGAAAACCTCAATATAATTATTAAAATTAAATTGAGTTAAAGTATCAAGCCCTGTTTCAT